GGCAATGAGGTTGTCGGAGCCTGTGGTCCAGGTGATCTGGCCGACGGTGAACGTGAGGCCGTTCGGCGTAGCCATGGATCCGGGGATGATGACCATCTTGTTCTTCTAGGAAGCGGTACGCACACCCCCTACCTGGCGCGCCACTGTCGACGAAATATGGTCGGCAGTCTACCTAGGGGTATGCCCAAGGTAGTAGATTATCGGCAGACAGGTGCGCAAGCTACGAACAAGATGATGACGCAAGACAGACACGAGGTTTTATCTAGGTTCGGCAGCCGTGAAGGCGTAATACCTACGTCCTGTGTCTGATTGTATTGTTGTATGTCAATGAGATGTCTTTTTTTAGAGGGGTCCCCTGCCCGTCTTATATAGTCTGGGGGGCAGGGTTACAGATCTAGAAACTAATCCTAACCAGTTACAATTGCCATAGGTGACCGGATATGAATTCCTATTCTAACCGACCAGGATCTTGCTTGATCTCTAAATCTGCCTTGATTCCTTGTGCGGGACTCCAAACAGATTGGCCGGGCCACGCGTCGTCTTCTAGTGGGCCAGACCCCCTGGTCCGGGCCGGCCCGAGCCTAGCCGTAAGGGTATAGGTGTTAATACCCCCACACTCTCTAATTAATCTCACCTCTCAACACGTTTGGTGAAAAAAAAACTCATTTGGCAAACCTAATTAATATAGCCAATGCTCGGATCTCTATGGTTATCCAAAGATATTATGCAATATGCTTACGTTTATGTACCACCAAATCACCCTAAGCTTGATTTTTTTTTACGGACATTGTAATCAAGTGGACATACTTCAACAATCACAATAAATGCTCGCTATCTTCGTGATTTTGGTTTTTTTCTCTTATTCCTGATCTTTCTTCGGTGTGGATGGAGAATGAAAACTAGCCATTAAACTTAAGACCTTCTTTAAATTCAGGGTGTAAAGTTTTGGGATATCATATCGGGTGTCATATGGAGATATCATATGGGGTGTTCGGATACTAATAAAAAAACAAATTACAGAATCCGTCAGTAATCCGCAAGATGAATTTATTAAGCCTAATTAATCCATCATTAGCACAGGTGTTACTGTAGCACCACATTGTCAAATTATAGACTAATTAGGCTTAAAAGATTCATCTCGTAAATTAGTCGTAAACTGTGCAATTAGTTATTTTGTAGTCTATATTTAATACTCCATGCATGTGTCAAACATTTGATGTGATAGGGAGTAAACTTTAGGAAAGCAAATAAACAAGGCTAAGATAAATATTTTATTCTCTTCAAGTCAACAGAGTTTAAATGTCAATTTTCGCTCTAACAAATATGATTCGGCTGCTCTGATGTTGATGGTTTGTTTAATTTTCACCTACACTAGAGCTGCTCTAAAGGCATCAAATGTTAAGACAACACAACAACATAAATGCACTACTAAATCCTCATCTTGTGATGAACAATGAGGAGGGGGCTACCATGATATCTACAGTAGAATGTTAACAATCACATGCACAATTGAAAGAGTGATTTATGAAAAAAAACTCAACATGAGGAGTAAACCACGAGATCTACTAGTATACTCTAAGGGCCTGTTTGGTAGAGCTCCATCTGATTCTGATTCTTTATGGGAGCTGGTGCTCTAAGAGAAGTGATTCTGTGGCTAAAAGTGATTCTATTTGATTTTTTAGCATAAACTTTTAAAATCACAATGGACAATCACTTCACAGAATCAGGAGAAGCTACTTTTTTCACCTCCCAACCTTTTAGTTCATTTCAGATAATCACTCACAGAATCAGCATAGAATCACTTTTCTCTGAAAATTGTTTGGTAGATTCAACATAGAATCAACTATGGAAGCTCTGCCAAACAAGGCCTAAGTTTCCACTAGTCAACAATGGGTACAAGGAGTCTTCTCTAAACCATGTAGAGCATTACAACAACAACACATTCATTAAGTTGCAACTTGGCATCTACTACAACAACTACAACCATCTAATAAGAGGAATGGTAATAGACAAAAGGAAAGTCACATATTCTATCCCCTCAGCAATCGGTTCGTATCTCGTAAACTATAGCTTCACTGTGTGTAAATTTGGGTAGGCATGTTGCTCCTAAGTCCTAAACCATTGATAAAGTTTGAGCTCACCAAAATCAACTATACCAAACCTGATATGTCACACCATTTCACCACTCAAATCAATTATGCAACAGAACTGATACGTTCGAAAACTCCAGTAGTAACCTAGACCAACCAATCCCTCTCATATATAATGCTCTACTAAACCAATAATCCTCAAACCAACTGACTAGATCAACGTTTGAACTTACGATCACAAGCTTGAAAACAACCGAGCCATCAAAGCTGGTCAAATTCCTCCTTTTCTCTCACATTGTGTTTGTGTTGTGTTATGCTCCTTCTCCCTCTCCAATAGCAGGTGATAGCTAAGACAAATGAGGCTAAGGTTTTTCTCTCCAGATCTCCCTTACAAGGAGCAATCTCATCATTGATTCCAACAAAAGTAACCGACACAAAAGAGTTGGACTTGTGATCATCGATGACCTCTATTTGCAAGGCTCCAAAGCATCCTACATGCAGACTTGATCAAACGACAAGTCTGGTTGGGCCACAAAATATATCAAGTCATAATCTTCGGCCCGAGCTCGACCCGACAAGGCTATAATTCTCAGGGTTTACAAGTTTGTGTATGAGGTGAGACCCAGGTGAGTCTTGCATTTGGATAAGCCCCCTCCCAGATTTTATAAAAAGTTTGGTGGCTCGCGACTTTGTCGAGCCTTCAGTTTCAATAACAAGGCCTTAGGGCCAGTTTTAAGAGTTTCAAAAAAAATCTCGTGGTTTTTTCTTTCAAATTTGCCTACTTTAGGTTGGATTTTCCAGTGTGGTCATGTCAGATCATGTGTTGTAAATTATGATCCGTTCCACTAAGATCGGGTCAGATGACCCATGAAGTTTACCCAAACGTAGATGGATAGATAACAAACAAAAAATAGAAAGTGGTTTCCCGAAAGGTATGGTCGCCTAGTATAGCAAATAGCATGTCTTAGGGCTTGTTTGGTTGCTCGCCACCGATTGCCATGGCTAAAGTTAGGCACGCCACGGTAGCTTAGGCGGGTGTTTGGTTCCTAACTGAAGCAAGGCTCGCCAAATTCCACCCACAGTACTTGCCATAGTTTTCTACGTCGATTGTGCGGCGTGCTTTTCCTCCGCCTCCGCCTCCGCCACAAACTCCGCCACGGCGTCATCCCTTCTCCTGCTATGCGGCCACCCTACCACCACCACTCGCCCCTTCACCACGAGCCGTCCGCGGCAGCCACCGGCTGCACGGGGCCCAGCACACCACAGCACCGCGCCCAGCCACACTTCGCGCCTTGGCGGATCGGGGTTGAAGATGACTGCAGGGCACGGCTGCTGCCTGGTCCTGGCGTGGCCGCTGCTCGTCCGTGTCCCTTCCGGCGCCGGCCACATCCCAAGTGGTGGGGTAGAACTGAACTCCTACCTGAGTTGTGTGAGGTCTGGTGACCGACGATGGCGGATGGAAGGCCATGGAGAGCGCGCACAGTGGCAGCAGCTTGGACGGCCATGGATGGTGCATGCAATTGAGGCATTTGGAAGAGCAGATAGAGAATAGGAGCTGCCGTGTGGCACGACGTGTGGTGGAGAGGTGGGTGAACGGATAAGGTTGAGGAGAGAATATTACTTGAGAATATCCTCCATGAACATGAAGGTTAATTGGCCGTTTTTTCTTTACAAAATAAATCTAGGAATACAATAGAAAATACTAGTATAATATAGTTTTGATTATCTATTATTATTTTGTTTTGATTAGTATACTATGGTTTCCTAATTATCTATATTAGTCTTAATTTTCATGTTTATTTTTGTTCATTAGAAACACCATACAAATTTATGATGTAAACCATATGTGGCAATTTTGCCAAATTTCTATGGCAACTATCCAAACAATAGCCACACAATTTTGCCATAGTTTAATAACGAACCAAACGTTTTCATTTTACCACAGAATGTGGCAAGCCAAGGTGTGGCAAATACTTAACCTTAGGCGTGGCAAAATATGGCCGGAAACCAAACAGCCCCTTAATTTAAGTTTATAACTTTTAGCTAGCAATATGTCTACACATAATATAATAATATTAAAAATAAAAATATTATCAAAGTATTTTTTATATTAAAAATAGTAATTGTTTTTTCCAACATCTTTTTTTTTGAAATTGTTGACCAAGCTGTAAAGGTTTAAGCTTGGACAAAGCTGAATGGATCCGAGGAGGTAAGTTGCATCTGAAAACCAAAGATTTTAGCGTTCAAAGCCCAAAAAAATTGATTTTTTTTTTTTTGGAAAACGACGCTAAAAGATTTGAATTGCTCTGTTCCTTCGATGGTGGCGAGCAAACACTGTCTGTATGTGGGTAGGCAGTGGGTAGGGCCGTAGGGTAGCGAAGTTGTTGGTCTAATTTAGGGCTCGTTTAAATTCAGGGTATAAAATTTTAGGGTATTATATCGGGTGTTAAATGGAGATATCGTATGAGGTATTTAGATATTAATAAAAAAATAAATTACAGAATCCGTTAGTAATCCGTGAGACGAATTTATTAAGCCTAATTAATCTATCATTAGCATAGTGTTACTGTAGCACTACATTGTCGAATCATAGACTAATTAGGCTTAAAAGATTTATCTCGTAAATTAATCGTAAACTGTACAATTAATTATTTTTAGTCTATATTTAATATTCTATGCACGTGTTAGAAACATTCGCGGAACTAAATGAAGCCTTATTCAATTCGGCATGTTCGATCTCCAATCTGAGCCAAACTGAGCGTTGCACCATGTCAAATCACTACTAATAAATCACCGACAGACGCTGATGGGCTCTTGTTGTCGGAGCAGTCACAAGTTTCTCAAATCATACACGTCTAATCTCTAGCAGGATCCACGGCCAGATCGACGGATGGATCTCCAGCGGCGCCGTCAGCGAGGAACGGGCGTGAGGACGAAGAGCTTGCACGAGTGCGGCCCGACCACCGCCGTGAGGCTGCCGGTGAACCTGCCCGGGAGCGTCCCGTGCTGCAGAGATGAGACGAATCATAAGCCACAAGCTTGCATGAATTTGAGGCACAGGCAAGCGAGCTCGGCGCGGATGCGCGGAACAGAGCTAGAAATGGCCACCAGCCACCACGCATTCACGTACCTTCCAGATGTCCCTCGCCTCGACGGTGACGCCGCGGCGGATGCCGACGTCCGGCCACGCCGCGGTGATGGACGCGGAGCGCGTCGCCCCCCGGTTGAGCAGCAGCACCGCCATCCTGTGGCGGGAGAGCTGCCCAGCCCATACCTGCATCATAATCGAACGCCATGGGATTCAGGATTCGTGCTGCTTGCGATGACGATCGATTTGGTAGATACTATCTGTGTACCTCGAGATCGTTGCCATATTTCTTCACTTTGTTTCCCTGGACACCCATCCGATCTGGGTCGAACACAATTGGCACACACGAAGTCAAGAGTCAAGAAGTGAACTAGGGTGAAAGATTTTGCTGGTAAGAAGATGGATTCTGGTTGTGAATGACGACCTTGGTTAATCGCGATGACCTCTGCGTTGGAGAGGATCCCCAGCGTCTCCTTGGAAACTCTCGTCACGTCGCAGCCGATTACAAGAGGAGCCTGTCAAAGATTGGCGCCAAGAATTCCACCTGTAAACGTGAGCACACAGAGAGTCGAACGGAGGTTCATTTTTATGAGCCTGGAAAAATGATGATTCACCTTGGCGATGGCCCACAGGCTGAAGTGCACGACGTACTCGTTGTACGCCATCCCTCCGTTCCCGACCTCCAGCATGTCAGGGTTTGTGTGGGAGAGAAGAAAGCCATCAGCTGTCAGGAAAACCTCATGGATCGAATCCGGATGCATTTCATCCAGGAAGCTAAGCAGAGATAGACGTGGACGATACGAACTGACCGTTCCAACCGCCGGGCTTGGAGTACCGGGCGAAGGCGTCGTTCCGATCGATGTTGTCCAACATGCTGTCGCAAGAACACAACCCAATCGGTTATCAGGCAGAGAATTACTAGCTACGTACTCCCATGGGCCATGCGTGGGAACCTATCACTTACCCTGACCATGTGTCGTTGATGTCGCCGGTGGTCCTCCAGCTGTTGCCGTACCTGCCGCCCCATTTGGGCACTTGCATGTAGCCCCTGACGAAGTTAGTATAACCGTCAGTCAGTCAGGTACATTTTTCAAGCAAAGGCAGAACCAGGATGCATAAGCATGCCATACCATTCGCAAAGTGAGTAGAAGATTGGGCGGCCAGAGCTCTTCAGCGCGCGAGACATGCGCCCAAACCTGCATCACAATTGACAGCTGCTACATACATCTGACAAGAATGCTACACGAACTGAATGTGCAGATTCGGAAACAGAAACTGCACCTCACGGTTTCAGGCGTGCCGTCTCTGTAGCAGTTATCATACTTCAAGTAGTCAACACCCTGCACAAGGTCAGGCGCCGAGTGAAGAAACGACATATATATAGTACGTAACTAAGGTAAAGTTGCTTTTTTTTTTTTTTGCTCTTCTACGTATATAATAAAAGAAGAGTAACTGATACTGGTAGTAGACTAATAATTCTACTGGTGAACTGAAACCGCGAGTCCTGGTCAAATGCTATCAGATGTCTGAACGTCTGTAGTAGCACTGGAGTATGTATGTACCCATGACGCAAACGTTTTAGCATCCTTGTCCTCGTGGCCCAGAGATCCAGGCATCCTGTTGCTGCAAGTTCTTGTCCTGAAATTTACGGAAGGCACAAGGCAGAAGGCAGTCCGGTTTCAGTTCAACATGGATTTATCCTATTCCTTGCAGTGGAAACTTGTAAGCTTTTGGGTTCCCACTTGATTGAATCGAAAAGAGCCGAGAACTTGTTGAACGAAAAGGGGAAAATAAAAGAACGTACCCAGCTGAAGAGTAGATGCCAAGCTTAAGCCCCTTGCTGTGGACATAATCTGCCAGGGCCTTGATTCCGGATGGGAATGTCTTGGGATTAGCGACCATGTATCCCTGTCAGCAAGTCAGTTAGCCAAGCCAATTTCTTAATTCTTGTAGGTTGCAGTCAAACAGATGGTGCTAGGTCAATGTTCAGTACAAGAAATTAACTGAAAAAGTAACTGACGACAAAGTCAACTAGCGCTCGTACTACCTCTTTGTTTCTTTGGTAATCCGCCCAGCAGTCATCTGCAATAGCAATGTCATCTTTCAGTAACACTGGACACTCTGATAACATCCAACACGTATGAAGTATGAACTCTGCATATGCTCTCCGTTAGAATACACCACCTAAGTTGACATACGTGTAGCCAGCCTTTGCAAGTCCGGTGGCGACGAGCGCATCAGCTGTGAAAGTACAGCGAATCAGTGAGCAATAGCCACATCAGAAAAAAAAATGAAACCAATCAAAATGCTGCTGTCTCTGACCGGTGCTCCGGACGACCGCCTCGTTGATGCCGCACTGGAAATGGTTCCAACTGTTCCACCTGCGAAAAAGCGACGACAAAACACAAAGAAAAGCCCACGGAAAAGGCTCATCAGACAAACCACAGCCGGGAGCGGCGGAAGCCACGCATCGCATGCACGCAGACATCTGAATTCGGAGTGCTGGTTTTGGTTTCGTTCCTCACCCCATCTGCGGCGTCAGCCCGAGCCCGTTGGCGAGGAGGACGCGCCGGGCGCCTCCGCCAGGCAGAGGCCCCGGCGCCCTGGCCCTGGCGTAGTCATCTCCGGCACCGAGCGCTGCCACCGCGGCGGCGGCGAGGCAGGCGCCCAGCAGGAGCACGGCCGTCAGACTCGGACACAGGCTCTGAATCTCGGGCGCCATCCTTGGTGGTTCCGCACTGGCACTGCGCTGCGTCCTGCCTGAACCTCTGCGCTGCGTATGTGCTTGTCACCATGCCCGGCGTATCCGTATATATGCGCCGGAGAAGGGGCAGAGGAGCCGGAGCGGTGCGTGTCGCGTGAGCGTGAGCCCGAATATTTTACATTTTAGCTCTTTTTTTAAAAGTTTCTCATAAATAGACCCTGACGAAAAGAATTCAGAGAATAGACTCTTAGCTCGGTGCCATCGATGCTGGTACCAAGCTGGGCGCCAGCGTCCTTGGCGCCGAGCTCCTGAGCTCGGTAGATGGCATGGCAGTGGCGCCGAGCTCGGAGCCAGAGTGACTGGCTTCGAGCCTTTATTACCTATGGGCCCCGTGCCTCTCTTCCTCTCCCTCTCTCGCCCTAGCAGAGCAGAGCCGCACTCGCCCGCCGCCCGCGCCCGCGCCCGCGCCTCTACCGGCCGCCCTCGCACGCGCCGCGCCGCGCCACCGCTCCCCGAGCCCGTCGAGTGCCACCACGGCCGGCCCGCGCCCCGCGGCCGACGTGCCTCGGCATGCAGGAGCGTCGCGCCCCGCGGCCGCGCTGCCCCCCACGCCGCGTAGTTGCCCGCGGCTGGCCGCCCGCGATGCGCCACGACCAGCGCCCCTCCGCCCACGCCCCGGTCCCTTCGCCGGTTCCTGCTCCCGCACCGCGCCCTCTCCTCGCATTGGCCTCGCACCGCCTTGCCGCCCTCCACCGTCGGCCTCGGCCGCGGCCGTCGTGCCTCCCGCGCCCGTCGAGCCGGACTCGCCTCGCGGAGCCCTAGGCATCTCGCGCCCGCCGCGCGCCACCGCCGACCTCGCCACCTGCAACGGCCGGCCGCACCACCGTCGGCCCGGATGGTCGGTCTGACCCACGCCCATCGTCCGCTGCGACTCCGTCGACGTCCGCGGATCAGTTGTTGAAAAGGTAAAAATTATGAATATGTAATGTACCTACTTAGTTGGTATTTATTATTTACTAGTTAATGTGATGACTCAGGTAGTTGATTTAGTTAATGATCTAGTGAGATATATATGTAGATAGATAGAAACATAGATACATAGGTACATAGATATAGTTAGATAGCTACTTAGATATGTAGTTACATATTTAGTTAACTAAATATGATCTAGCTATTTAGTGAGTACACTGTATATATATACATAGTTATTATCTTATTTACTTAGTTTGTAGTTAGAAAGTACTTGTTAAGTACTATCTATCGTCTAATTTGGACTAAAGGACATGTGTTTCGTTACGTGTTTGAACTAGATGGACAACCTAGTGACCATATATCATGGAGGCACCGTTGAAAATGATCGCTATGGATATGTTGAGTTTGTTGACATGAAAAGCGTGCCTGTGCTATTCAATGATAGGTCTTCATTTAATGAGATGGTTGCAAGGGCTCGGGAGGAGCTGCATTGCCTTGGAGATAATGACATTGCAGTTGATGGTGTACTGCACCTAGGTTCTCCTCCCAACATCTTTAGGCAAACGGTCTCAATTGGCTGTGCGGATCAGTGGGAGGACTATGTGAGATCGGCTATGAAAAGCCAGCTGCAATGTTTGGACGTGGTTGTGCGTCGGGTGCTAGTTGATCCCATCCCTCATGGGTTTACCCCAGCAATGGATCAGCAGGCACACATCGACCCTCCTGTTCCAGAACCTTATCTATATGTGGAGATTGCACCTACGGTTCCCGATGCTCAATCTGCCCCGAATGCGGTAGTTGGAGATGGTTGTCAGACTCATGTTTCCATGGTAGATCCTCCTTATGAGATCCTTTTGACACAGAATCATCCGAGTAAGTGTCTTAACCGCATGGTTTTTGGGAGCTTACCCCGTTTCTTACATATATTTCTTTTATTCTTTCCTCATTTCTCTACTTATGTTGCAGGAGACATTCCTGAGAATGTGGATGTCCCCCCTGTTGCTGCGCAAGTGCACTTTGGAGATTGATTCTGTGGCTCCAATAGTGTTAAAATTATGAATGATTCAGAGCCTATGAGATGGCTAGGGCTCTTGATTCTGATGATGATCGCACTGTTAGAGAGCTGACGGAGAGTGATGTTGAGATGATGAGGCGTATCTTTCCCGGCTGCCGTGATCTTAGAGTTCACGAGTTCAGCGATCTTGCTCATTCCGATCTGGCGTTTGCAGAAGGACGTGATGATAAGCTCCTAGAAGCTCATGAGGCTGGTCCTAACATGGTAATTGAGAATGGGAGGGTGTTCAATGACCTCCCTGCTTTGAAGAGGTGGTTGCAGGCTTTTGCAATGATACGAAAGAGACCTTACAAGGTATTACATTCATATGCGGAGCGCTGTTACATAGTTGTGTGTGACAAGGAACGCTGCCCATGGAGGGTTTGTGCAAGGAAGCAACAGGTAACCAGAAAATAAAAGATCACAAAAGTTGTCGGGCCACATAATTATGCTGACCATGAGCTGACACTGAGGCATCGGTAGTTGACATCTACCCTCATTGCCAAGCGGTTGATGAAAATTTTGCAGGGAGAACCCAACATGAAGGTGATGACAATTATCAGGACCATTGAGACGTTGTATGGAGGTTATGTGATAACTTATGGTAAAGCATGGAGGGCTAAGCAGCGAGTGTGGAAGATGATATATGGGGACTAGGAGGATGGGTATGAGCAGCTGCCAGTTCTTTTCAATGCAATCAAAGCGGTGAATCTAGGCATGCATTATGAGTACATCCCAAAACCAAATGCATGGAAGGATGGGAGACAGATATTCTTCCGTGCTTT